CCAGGGCGGACTCTGCTGGAGAAAGTTGGCATTTCTCCAGCTCCCAACAATATTAGTCTATTTTATTGCATGACGTATACCCACAGTTTTTAGATATTTTTATAATTTTATTTACCTATTCCATATTATATGTTTCATGTTGCACGATTGTACCATAAAAAATTCCTAGTTTGTGAACTCCTTCACCAACAATGGCAATAAACCTGATTCTGATTCTGAAAGTTTTACACTGTAGCCCAAGTCAATGACAGATAACATGAGGACGACCACATAGGCTACAAATAATTTTAGTAGAGCTTGCAATTGCAAATACGGAAGAGGATTAGGGCCACTGAAGAAAAAAAAAATTAACTGATTTTTAAATTTTATTTCAGTTTAGTATGGGAAAAAAGTCAGAATTCTGACTTTAATCTCAGAATTCTGTTGTATAGGTTTTGTTAGGCAACATAAATTAACACATTTTGGTCTCTTTATTGTCTTAATTGTATATTGATTTAGTAATTGCAGCACAATGCCAAGAAATGTGGCATATTTGTTAAGCTATTATTATTATTATCATTATTATTATTATTATTATTGTCATGATGGTTATTATTATTATATTGTAGCCAGTCACAGCAGGGAAGCTCTATACCATCAACATCTACCAGGACACAGCAGAGCTCATGTGGATTATAAAGTGAAGCGGGAAGAAAAATACCCATTTCTACATGATTTGGAAGATGTGAAAGCATTACAAGTAAAGCTCAAAAAAGTATCTTTTTTATTAAGCCCCTATCCTATTGGTCTAATCTAAACAACACAAAGGAAACTATTTGGTCTAAAGATTCAACTTTAGATCTAATGTGTTGCTTGTGAGCCAGAGTTAGTCAAGTAAACGGGTTGACTAACGTCTGTGCGCCGATGGGTAGGAGACAATGGAGAAAGGAGAAACTTTTAACTCTTCTGAATCACTGTGAAAAAATAAAAAAATATGTTCGCCCGAACAGGGACTTGAACCCTGGACCCTCAGATTAAAAGTCTGATGCTCTACCGACTGAGCTATCCGGGCTCTGAGTTCAAGCGTATCACGCATTCAACTTGTACCTACGGACCCGACGCACTGGAGAATAAATGTGGACTGTTTAAGAATGTGCGAGGTCCAAGTAGTAGTGAAGTAGGGATTCTTAGAGCACATTTTTAACATGTTTAGTCATTTGATTCAAAACAAAGTGTTTATCGGAATCTGGTCTCGAGCTCACGATACTTATTCTGTGTCGTTCCTCCGCCACTTTGCGCGGAGTTTAATGGTTAGCTGTTACAAGGCACAGATGGAAATACTGGAACGTGACTGTCTATAAGAGCTAAAATGGAAATACTGGAACGTGATTGGCTCTAAGGGCTAAAATGGAAATACTGGAACGTGATTGGCTCTAAGGGCTAAAATGGAAATACTGGAACGTGATTGGCTCTAAGGGCTAAAATGGAA